AGGCCTAAGTGATTCATCACACTTGTATTGTTTATTTCTATAGCTTCATTTAGTGTGATTCCAATACCATGCCAGTGTTGTTTTTGGTTATTACCAAGTAATAGTGTAATAATATATTACAGAATAATATACTATCTTATTGTCAATGGTTATTCTTCCTGAATCAGGCCATCTCATCTCGCTTATTCTGGGGATATCAGTATTTATTGTGTTCATTTCTTGGATCATCATTATCAACTAGCCTCTCACGTTCACTGCTGAACATAGGCCTCTTACATGTTTTTCAACTTAGTCCAATTTTGCGCCATCTGAATCCAATTTGTAGTCACTCTTTTTATGGCATCTGTCCATCTCGTTGGGGGTCGACCTATATTTCTGTTAGCTTGTGTTCGGGGTCTCCATTCCAAAATTCTTTTTGTCCACCGATCATCAACTGATCTTGCTACATGACCTGCCCAGTTCCACTTTAGTGTTGTTATCCTTGGAATAACGTCTGCCACTCCTGATCTTTTGCGTATGGTAGCATTGGGTATTCTATCACGTAGAGAAATCCCTAACATTATTCTCTCCATCGCCCTTTACGCAACTTGAAGTTTACTTACTGTTGTTCTTGTGAGTGTTAGGGTTTCTGCGACGTAGGTCATCACTGGCAAAATGCACTGATAAAATACTTTTCTTTACAGACACGTTGGAATCTTAGACCTAAAAACATCCTTCATCGTTCCAAATGCAGCCCAAGCAAGGTTTATTCTTTTTTTCAGTTCGATTGTTTGGTTGTCTCGACTTATTCTGATCTCATGGCCCAAGTATTTATAGGAGTCAACTGGCTCAATATCTTTGTCTTATACTGAGATGTTCTTGTTGTGGACTAAATTTGTCATAATTTGTGTTTTTGAAAAATTTATTTTAAGACCAACTCTTTTTGTGGCAGTATGGAGTTTTTGGAGCATTATCTGTGCCTGATCAAAGCTGTCTGCAATAAGAACGATATCATCTGCAAATTTAAAGTTATTTAAAAATTTTCCATGTACATTGATGCCCTTTTCGTTCCAATCTATTGTTTTACAAGCGTATTCTAGCAAAGTTGTAAATAATTTCTTGTATGATATCGTGAATTTAGCCTACCTTTACCATGCTTATAATATATCAGAGGTCCATCTAAATAGTTGTTTAGATTTTTCTACTTTTAGGCCAGTTCTAACTCTCTTCGTGAAAATTATTAGCACCCCCTGATTCTCTAAGGTCTGTCGTGGACGTGGGGGACAAATTTGTATTTATATTTTGCATTTTTTATTCTTGGGAGATAGTGTAGTAGTTTCCTCTTGCTTTTTATGTACGTTTATAAAATTGTTGAGCATATTTTCGATTACTACTAATTAACGTGTGATATCAATCCTATGAGATTTTTTTTCCTCCAGCCTTGAGTATCTAATGACATAGCCGCTAGTCTATGCCACATCCTCAGTGTGTTTATACAAGGTGAATAATTATTCGGTAAAAGGAAATATCGCAAGTACAAAGATACTGGTTTATTAGACTAGAAAACTAACGATTTCCCCAAAACACTCGTTGATACAGGTAGCTATCAAATACTTTTGATAAATTTGGTAAAAATAATATTTAATGACCAAACTATTCACTCAAATGATGAAACGTGATTTTTTACTTAGAGACAATGCATGAGGAGGTGACTTTTAAAAAAGAATTTGTTACAATATGTATTGTAATATTAATTGTTTGTTGAGATTTTGGTGTCATTTAAAAACTTATTTTGAACCCCACATGTTAGTAAGTGAAAATTTGATCAAAACAAATTTTGTCGTATGATTTTTCACATATGAAATATAGGTAGCAGAACAAAACAAGTTTTGTACACCGTAAGTAGTTAATCAGAAACGTCTGTTTTGCCTTGCAATTCTTAAGCATAGATTATAGCAGAAATCTGAATTTAGTTTCAACAATTAGTTTCCGGATTTATGATCAGATGTCGCTATTGCGTTCATATCGAGGCCATTTTATTGTTGGTTCTACTATGACAGGAAAAATTGTTTTTACGTTCAAAGCGTTTGTAAATAGCCACTACATCGATTTCTTTTAGGATGATATACGTATAAGCGGATATCCAGACGTACTGTACGTGAAATCAAATCTTAGTTGTCTTTCCTTTAATTAGAAAAGGTTTAGTCACAACCAACCAATTTCAGGACAGCATTGGTCCTACCCATGATTTTCTGTTGTTTGAGGTTACGAGTTTTTACAATGTTTTATTCAGCTTTATTGTTATCGTGCCGCAGAGCTAGTAGTGTTTAATTTAATATTAAATAGGATGAGTGAAGTTACTGATGACTCTTTTGTAAGTGTGGAGAATGAAAATGATTGCTCTAGGAAGAGGACTTTAAATCCACGAAAGAAAATTGGCAAAAAAGAAAAGACTAACCAAAGGTTACAATACCTTTAACCCGTGCTTATATTCCTCTAAAAGGTTTTCGTGTAAAAACTTTACTCCCAGTGATAGTTCTCATGGGAGGAAAAACTTGCTATCTGTGCCCAATAAAATTGCTCAGAACAACTTCATTTCAAGTCATGTGTCCCTTCAAAATATCAAAAAAAGGAGGCCACGAAATACAAGCAACGAGGCACGGCCTAACTCTTGTTCTGTCGAGTACACTTTGATTAAGCAAAACACAAAAATTATCAAGGTATGTAAGAAGTTTTTTATGTCAGTGATGATAGTCAAACCTACCAGATTAAGCCACATTATAAAATGTATTCGTAAGGGGAACATCTAAATGAGAATAGGGGGACGACCGCAAATCAGCAAAGACAGCTGGCAAAACGGCGCGTGTAAGAGATTTCATAAAAAATTTAAGAGGTAATGAAACACATTATGCTAGAAATAAATCAAAGCGCATCTATTTAGATCAGGACATGAACATCACAAAAGTATGCAAAATGTATAATAATTTACATGAAGAAAACTCGAACAAAGTATTAAAAACGATGTTTCGAAGAATTTTTCACACCTTTAATATTGGATTTCGCTCCTCAGCGTCTGATGTGTGTAGTTACTGCTACAAAATGAAACATTTCATTAAAACCAAAAAGGATCCAGCTAAGAAGATTGAGTACATGACCAACAAGCAAGTGTAGCAGCATTTTCTAAGGCTATGAAAAAAGAGTCGGGTTTACTCACTCTGAGGCAAATTGGATTATACTGTTTCTGTGTTGTTAGAATTGACGGAAAGAACCCGACGTTGTATATGTACAGAGAAAATGAAGCTGGAAAGGGTTCTACTGAGGTCTCTTCAATAGAGATTTAGCTTTTTTGCAACACCTTCAAAGGCTTGATCGACCTGAAAATGTTACATCAATCAGACTTTTTTGTGATGGGTGTGGTGCTCAAAATAAAAACAATTTCGTTTTGCATACACTTACGATCTTTTTGATCAAAACTAATTCCAAAATAACAGATATCACAATTACATTTCCGGTGAGAGGACACAGCTTTCTTCCTGATGACCGAGTGTTTAAACGACTGGAAAAATTGTTGCGTTAACAGCTAACTATAATCAACAAAGAAACCTACATCGATGTATACAAATCAGTTGAAACAGGTAAACTACTGGGAGAAGATTGAAAACTGTTTGACACCAAAAGTCTTTCATCAACAGAAAAAGGCTGCTTTAGGCGTCTGGACGGTATTTCAGAGTGCAAGAGAATTTTCATAAAAAGAAAAGGTATTAATCGACAAACTAAACTCTGGGTCAGAGGTCTAATAAACTTTGTGTTTGAATGTGAGACGGAGGCATGGAAATCTCTTCAAATAAAAGGTTGGCCTGCTAAAAAATGCGCCTTATTAGAGATAGATGAGTTGCCACTCGGTCACAGCATACCTCCAGCCAAAGGGATGATGTTGACCAGCTTTTGACGCAGATCTTTGTTGGGAATATGTTGGGATGCACGTTTGAGTTTTGACAATTATACATTTAACTTTTAATTTTATACTCATAAGTCGTAAAGCTATTGCTGTTTATATCAAATCTATTGTTTTGTAAGTTCAGTTTTTGACCAATACACTATTTTTTATAAAATAAGCACATAATATTTTTCTTTTGTATTTATTTTAGAGTCTAGAACTACCAATCTATCATTAGAAAAAAAATTGTCATAACCACAAACATGAAAAATAAAGAAATAGTTTTTTTTAATTTTCTGAACATTTTTCTAGTTGTAACAGATCACTTTTTGACACCTCCTCATATAAACAATGTAAAATCGCTATTTGATTTGAAATACTTACTGAAGGTGGAGACTGGTAAATTATATGCAAAAGTGACACAATTTTTAGCGTGCTCTCAAAAATTAAACAATTAATACATTATGGATTTCGTCAATCAACAAATTACTAATTTGTATCGTCATTGTCGTTTTTGGCAAGTTTAGAACATCAAAAAATTAGAAAATTAAATACAGACTTCATGCAAATAACCTTGCGTCAACGATTGATTACCGGCAATCTCGTTACATTTGGAATATATAATTACAAATAACAATAGTTGTTATATAATTGAATTATTTTACAGACTATGCATTCGTTTTGAACATAAACAAACAAACGTTTGGGCTTGCAAAATTGCGACTAAAACCCAACTGAAAAATGAGGACAAATTCTCCGAGAACCATCCAAGAAAATTAAACAATTTGATCATAAGCGATTTCCTTTGTTGCTTCTATAAACCGTTTAAAGTATTGTTAACAGTAATTGTGTGTATGTTATCTGGTAGATAATACAACATTAATCACGCTGAGTGTATTTTGCATCACAACTAGTGAAATATCAAGCGCAAGGTAAAAAATATACAAAAAAAAACGAATGATATTCTTCCTTACCGAAACCTATTATGAATGATTTGATGTTGATATCACGTGGTACCCCTACCACTATGTTATACATAGGGAACCGTGGATTAATTTAGTTAATATGTAGTGTAAAAATCGCCAGGTTGAATTGTCCCCGTTGAAAACTACAAGTGCTGTTGACAAATGTGAGTGAAGACCTAGTAAATATGAGGGGTAGTACCGCTGGGTTACCCGACACTGTTATACAGGGATATAACGCCTCGTACTACACATTTTTAACAATACTAGATAATTTATTTGCGTTTTTTGTGTTATGTCCCTGTGTAGTGGCCTACTGGAGGGGTGCTTGGGGATTGATGGACATATATCTAGCTGAATACTCTTTATTGTATAACGGATTGATATCTGTAGGCATAGGTTTATTTGGACATTGCGTTTTTATGTGCTTCCAAAAATTTTTCGAAGAAAAGTTCCATCCAGATAAAAACCGAATATTGTACTATATCGTGTCGAGACTGTATACTGTATGCTATGCATTTACCTGTGTTAACGGCTGGAGGGGTCCTTGGGGGTTCCTGTATGTTCCCTACCAGACAGATGTTATGTCAATTAGTGCTACCACGGGAGTAGGAATTGTGGCTTTACTCGCTATGAGATCCTTGAGGAATGTTACAGCACCTCCTTTTGTCATTGTTAACGACAATGTTAAGGGATATTTTGAAGTACCAACTTTGTTTAGAACGCCGGTAAGATTTTTATTTTAAATTAATTTTTTTTAATCAAAGATATATCTATCTGAACTTAAACTTAGTTCAGACATTATTATTGTTTATTTATTTATTTTATTTAATATATATTCCCAAATAGCGTTTTACACTTCATCATTGATTACAACACATAAAATATTTAAAACACCTTTATAATTTTCTCGATTTATATTGAGTGTTTTCTTTCTATTATTATCAATGATCTGCAAAAAAATGTGTCTCCTTTTTTTTATGTATATATGCATATACATTATTTTTTGTGCTCTAAATAACGGGAAGTACCACGGGAATAAATACAGGACATAGACTTTTTTAAAAACATTACTTTTGTAACAACTATAAAAAAGTTATAAAGTACTAGGTTTAAATTTTACCCTAAAAAATACATTTTCTTTAGATGCAGGTCATAAAAGTTTCACTAAATATATCAAATCGATTGCCAGTATTGAAACAGCATTACTACAGATCGAATTCGATTTAACATCGAAGCCTCTTTCAATATGCAATATATCATAACATATCATCTTTCACCATTCTCATCTGATACGACATCAAGGTTTCAGAAAAAATCTGAGTGCGAATTTAAAAAATGAATTTTCAGTGACATATTACATTCTAGAGCTTCATAAGTTCTTACACGATTTCTTGGTAATTGTCAGCTTTAATATTGCCAAGAAAATTATGACATATTTCTTTAGAGCTGCCCAAGTTCTTTTTTCTTTTCCATTTAATATCAACTTGAAAGCTACATCTGTCATGAGCTCTCGTATTTGCGGACCAACAAAAATTTCTTATTTCAACATCGCGTTATTAATTCGAGAAAATTTTGTTTTAAGATACTGAAAGCCTACAATTTTTTTCATAGCTTTTACGAAATTTTTCATGAGTCGCAGCTTAAGGGGGTGACACCAATACATGTATTGATTTAGTCTAATTTAGTTTGATACGCCATTTACTGGTAAATGCATTAACCTCATTGAGTGCCTCTTTTCTTTAATTTCATCATAATTAACTGCTAATATATTTGGATCATTAGCAAACGTAGCACTTGTGGTTGTGTTTAATACTGGTATATCGTAGGTATAAAGAAGATAAAGTAATGGACCTAAAACACTGCCTTGAGGGACTCCAGCACATATTGTTCTAAGTTAGAGTAACAATCTTTTAATTTTATTTTAAACAATCTTTCACGAAATTAGAACCAGTTTCTACTCTGGTCCATCATACTAGAAGTTATCAAAACCTGGGAAACATCCAGAAAATCTACCGAACATACTTTTTCTCCTTAAGAGCTTTTTCTATTTGATTAGTGATTCTGTGGACCTGGTCTAGTGTAGCGTGATTATTTCTAAACCGAAATTGATGTAGAGTACAAACTTCCAGCATCTTGGGAAGTATTTAAATATAGTTGACTTCTTAAGTAGATCTGATAGGTTAACTTTTGCTTTTCTGGGCAATTTTTTCATGATTTTTCCTATTATAAAGTCATACCCCCCCCCCGGTGCCTATTTTGATGTAATGTTTGTTAGTATGTTAGTATTAACTTCTTTACGGGTTGCTAATTGTATTGTGTCTCAGATTTATGAAATATATGAATGAATATATGAAAATAAGATTTTCATCTATTGTTGAAACATTGTCAATCTCAGATTGCATATCATTCGGTTTAAAGGTATTTTCCAAATGATCAGTCAATATGACTATGTTTCTTGATTACTTTTGGCCCATGTACCATCAGATTTTCTAATGTGTGGATTTTGTCTTGCCTCTAGAGTCCCCCCGTGGCTCTCCATAATGAGTTATCACTGTTTGTGTAATAATGTTTTTTATTGACAAGCCCCCTTAATAATTTATTTATTGATTCGCTTCTATATTTTTTAAATTTCTTTGATTTTATTGTAAGTTATATAATTTAACCTGGTTTTGTTTACTGACATTTTCTTCTAAGCTTTGGCAGAGCATGTAATCGACAAAGACCATATTATGGATTATGATAATATTAAAATTTTATGTAGTGAAAGTAATAAATTCAAAAGAACCTTTTTGGAAATGATTTGTATTAGTAAAAGTGATAATAATTTAAACAAAAGGTCAGAAATTCAAAATCTAAGCAAAATTTATAATTATATTTTTTCTATGTAGTTTATATATGAAATCAGTATTACATTTTGGTTTAATTTTCTATGTAATTGTTATATTTTTTCAGGCATCTTTCAATGGTGAATAAATTTTCTTCTTTTTTGTTACTAAACAAAAAAGAATTTTTAAACAAAATTTTATTTTTGGTAATATAATTGTCAAAAATTAAAATTTCTAAGTTGGTGTTTATGACATTGAGGCTTATTGGTAATTGTCACTATTCAAATTTATTTACAAATTCAATTATTTTTGTGTTAAGAAACTTTTTCAAAATTATATTAAAATTTCAGAGAAGCATTTATTAGATTAGAACATTTTTATATTAATATTTTTTGTAATATGTTAGCAGCATTTTTATATACCAAACTAATTTTATTTGGTGAGAACAAAATTTTTTTATTTCTAGTTCAACTTTGTAAGATATTTTGTATTTTTTAGCAGCTCTTGATAATAATTATAAACACAATTGAAAGCTCGAGTAAAAAATAGTTGACAAATAGCCCCTTTTATTAACCCCAACCCATCCAAAACAGTTTTATATTTTTTCCAAACGAGTCACAAGTACTTATTTTTTGTTACTCTTTAAAACCTGTAACATGAAATTTGGATTATGGGTTCTTGTAACACATATGATACATTTAAAATATGCCTAAAAACCGCTGAATTTAAACTTTCATATTATAAACGATCTAAAACAGTTTAAAACTCCTTCATTTCAATTTTACAAGTAAGTTATTTTAAATAACACAACCTCAGCTACAAATTCCTCTTAATACAGTCTTTGTAGAAGCATTTCTCGTGATATGAGATCTTTTGTAATGTGAAAGTTTTAATTTAGCGCGTCTAATGCATATTTCAAATGCTTTATATTTGAAGCGCTTAGAATAAAAGAAGTCCAAGTGCATTTTTTTTAATATCGAGTTAAATACAGATTTGAATACCTAAAGTACAGTTTTATTAATTTTAAAATGGATCTAAGTGATTTCATACATATACTGCAATCTACCGGAGTTTGAAAAATATTTTATAAATAAAAGTATAGAAGCCTTTGGTTTAAAATGGATCCAAGCGCAGTTGGTTCCTTTTACCCTTCCCACTCCCTTAATAACTACTTCCAACGAAAGCGTTTTATTTGCGACAGCTTTAGACGTATAATTTTTAAGAACTTGCTTGGTGCCTCATTAATTTTGTAAAAAACATACTCTTTAAAAGTGTTACCAAGATCTTCGCATATAGCGATTGCTGCGGTGGGAATATAAAAAAAAAAACATTGTAAAGCTGTTTGTGTTCTTAGTTAAATTTACTTATATTCAAGAGATTCACCACAGGATTTTGGAACCAGGCCATACATTTATGGAGTGCGATAGAGATTTTAGTATAATTGCAAAAGTAAAGCGTAAGAATCCACAGGTATTTATTCCAGAGCACTGAGCTCAGCTAATTCAACCAGTTTGCAAAAAATTTAATAAAAACCGAATAAATCAAGAAAACTTTTTCAGTTTTGAAACAATAAACAGAGTTATAGGTGATCCCAAAAAAGACAGTAAATGTATTCTTTACTGTTCTTTTTAAATGGAGACCAGTACGGTGCATTTTGTACGAAAAATCTTCCGAAATATTTTAGTTTTCTTTTAATGATATATTAAATGAAGAGTTTTTAGTTTTTACATGTGTATGTGTACAAATAGTAGCTGGACGTCCTACTATTAGCATAGAGAACAAATCTTGACGCTTAGACGATAAAAATCAATAAATTGAAAAAGGGACAATATTCAAAAACTTAATTTTATTCCACCGGTCTACAACAACCTTCCCAATGAATACAAGAAAAAAATCAAAAACTAATACCGTCAAGTATCTGAAGAAGTATTTCAAGAAAAAACTAAAACGTTGGAGTCGGCATCGCAGCAAACTAAGTTTAGCGAAGACATGAAAGATACAACAGTACTGGACTCTGATTATGAGTGAAACTTGCTTTATGGAAAGATAATTTTGTCGATTTTTTTTATTTTAGCTGTTCACATTATAAATAAATAATAATGTAATATTAATAGTAATCAAATAAAATTATAAACAAATATTTTCCAAAATTCACTTTTTTTCCTGCAAAGACCCTACAAATACATTTTAGTCCAGATAATAATTGGTTGACCGTTCAGAATAAGAAGAGTCCAAGAGATTTTTTTTTTCGAAGATAAAGCTGAATTGGTTATTTTTTTGAAAATTTGTGTAGGTATAATAATTTTCTGATCCTTTGGTAATATAATAATACTATGTAAGACCGTAGCTAATGTATAAGGAATTTTAATTATTAAAAAAACTTTAACCTTAAATATCTCAAAACTAGTAAAATTGCACTTGGATCCCTTTTATTCTAAGCCCCTCATTTATTGCCAAAACTCAAAATCGAAATTTTATTTTCTGGGTTTTAAAGATTAGGCATTAACAATGGAAAAATCCGTAGCGACCAATTGATGGACGTGATTTGACATTTAGACCTTGACATTTTATTGATCTCATCATAAAAAATCATAAAAAATGGAAAAAATAGCGCAACATTTATTCATATAACAGTTTTATACAGAATTACTTTATTTGTGGAAAAATGTAAATTTAAATACGAAAATTGAGCTCTTCACTTTTAAAAACCATTTTAATTGTTGTCAATGGGACACTCTGATTAAAAAGTATTAAATTTTTATCGCTGAGTTAATACAAATGTTATTTAAAAAATTTTCACGCGCTTAACTGGCATTCAATATCGCCGGTCGCTTCAAGCGTTGTTTTTGAGTTAACGCTTTGTTCTACAGAAAATGTGCTAATAAACATTTTTATTCAAA